GTCACACACCCAGTACGCGTGCTTAATAACTTGCTACTGTCGCCGGCGCCGCCACGCTGGTCAGTATGGAAATGTACGCGTGCGTCTGCGTTGCAATCACTAACGCTCGCACACGACGGTGTCAAGCGCTGGCGCATATTTTACAGCCGCAAAATTGCTCAATTTTAGCACTTTGCCTACTCGTACATAATTCTATTTGAAATTTGAAATAACAAAGTGATTACATAAATAAGTATTCATGCACATCCGCTACCGAGCGTTAGTAGACGGCTGCACAGTGGGTTCTTGGAAGGTTTATTGTGATAGAAAATAATGCAAATTATAAATCTTCATATTTTATATAAACTCAAACCCTTCTGGAAAGTCTGCATTACATTCACTATTGCAAGGTTCTCCATTTCGAGATTCTCTACTACTGTTATTAAAACAAAATAAAACACATAAACTTCAAATTTAATTGGAATTTACTATCATTTGGAAGAACATTCTGTGGCATTTATTTTTTGAAGGTTATCTCTTCCAAATGTTGACGGCGGCTATGCTTCAGATCCGTTGAATGGACTGATGATTCGACCGACCCACAAACCGAGCTCTTGAACCTCTTCCGGTCGCAGACCCATTGAGCCAGAAATAGGCCTCATCGCTGAGCAAAATTTGGCTCGAAAACGGCGGATCTTCTTGGAACCAGCAAATTAAGCGAAGCGATGTCGTTTACGAAGGTCGAGCTTTAGTTCTTGCACAAGCTGTAACTGAAAACAAAGTTCAAGTGGCTGCGAATGACGCCGAATCGACTCTCCACGGACTTCGTGTACATTCTCAGCTACGGCTGCTATACTTTCTACACTGTGTGCTAGACGTGGTCTATTCGGTGATGTTGTTGCGAATAGTAGGCCGACTATGTTGACCAAAAGTTGAGAGAAGCGGGCGAAGCACATCCTTTAGAAAATGTGAATTTTCGTAATAAAGTTGTACGAGTCTTTTCTTATGCAAAAACTACCTCATGTTAAGAAAATGTAATAAAACAAAAGCTTACTTAGGCTGCACCACAGTTAGAATATCCTTTTGATGTGCTTTTCTTATAGCATTTAAGTATAGTATATAAAAAAGTTTTTATCTTCATATTGATCGTTCAGTTTTATGGTAGCTATACCCTGTAGTGCTCCGATATTGAGGGTTGCGACAAATCAGCAGCTTCTTGGAGAGAACGGAACGTGTGCAAAATTTCAGATTTCTCAAAAACTGAGGGACTAGTCTACTCAGCTCATCACAATGATCATATTGTATAGTTTGTCGGATCTCCAAAATTTCTACTGGATGTTACCAACTTTGAAAAAAGCTTTTAAGTTTAACGAAAGCTTTTAAACTTGCGGCCTGAGGAGCTTTCATTAAAATTTTTAGATCATATTTGTATTACAGTTTCTCATAGAGTTTGCTCAATATTTTTTCTAAAAAGACAATTGAATATCAATGACTCACTCTAAATAGTGCAGTTATATGCCCAACAACACTGTTTATCTACAAGTGATATATGTTATTAAGTTTTTCCTTGTTGTTTTTTTTTTTAGCATTTAGCAATACAACCTATCTTCCATGTCAAGAATTGATATATTTTCAAATTTATATTTTATATACATAAGTACAAAGAAGTGGATAATAAGAACGCTTCCACACTAACTTCGGCTTGGCTGTCAGAATAGTTTATGCAAAAGCGGATATCGTTAAAACCCCCGAAAATTCCCACTTTTTACTCCTATTTCTACAACGCAATGGTGTTGGTAGATACAGTATGTCTATAAACAAACGCTTATGTATGAAAAGGTTTAATCCACTAAACCTGTATTTTGAAATCATCGTTCCTTCTTTCCACAAAGTGCTAGAGAGAACCATTAATTGCCACACTGAAGCATTGGCAGCATTGCTTTTAATTAACCGGCACCTGTTGGAGCTGCGGGTAGCCGAAAATGGCCCTGATTATAACCTAAGGTGAGATAATGATTTAAGACGAGAAATATACTAATATTTAAGTTGGATATATGTGTGCATGTCGGCGCTAGCCTTGTAAGAAATAATTGAGGCGTAACGAGCTTTACGTTAAATAGTAAATTCAACAAACAATGTGGATCTTGTGTTCTATTATTATTTACTATTTTTCTGGCGTTTCGTGCCTAATCACTAGAATTCTATTAAATGCCTTTTCGAAACACAGATCAAAAACTCTGTTGAAAATTTTCTAAGGTCACAGATGAAAAATCCAAACAATTTTACTTTTTTCTCCAATGTGTGCTACTATCGAACTAGAATTTTTACCAAAACTTGGAAAGAAAGATCAGTTTATTTAGACCATGTACAACATTTTCAACCTCTGCATTAATACACTACATCAACTTCTGAGGGAAATTCTTACCTTTTTCCTAATTACGCCCAAATATTTCGAGGAAAATATTTCCGTAATACAATCTCAAAGAATTCTTTTTTTTTTCCTTCAAGTAAAGTTACATCACTCTTGTTCTAGTTCGAAAATCTTCATAACAAGTACTTTATTATCTGAGCATCCAAGTCTCTAATAAAATAAATATTGAGAGATGAAATATACAATCTCAAAATGAGGTAAATGATTGCAATTAACTTAAAAAATTTAGGAGTTCCATTATGAATGCCATCATTAACCGGCCATTATTTATTGTTTAACAAAGGTGAAGTTTGTAGGGCGGTCATTGGGAACCTTATATGTGGATATTAGCATTATGCAAGGCCTAGGTTTTTCTTCTCCTTTTGTTGATAATATTGTTTACGTGGCGGGTCCTAAACCCGGCGCTACCCAGAGGATAGTCGATTTAAGAACGGAAGTCGTGAGCTGCTTCAGCCAAATGTAAAATAATCGTTTCTGGGCCCTCCCAAGTAAATGTCGCTCAGAGAAGTTTCCTCACTTGCGTGAACCTCTACACAAGGTTCGATCCCTGTCCCATTAAACGAACAAATTGTTTCGATCCACATGCAATGGCAAACAGCTGAATTTTTATCCACCTTGGAAAAGTTTCCCATAATATATTTTATCCCTTCGAAAGCTGCCTTAAACTTGAGGATCCCGAAATATCTCCGATAATTTTAAAATATACCGCCAAGCATTTATGTTTATGGATAACAAAATTTCCATCAGCTATCTACCACACCGCTGCAGCATCTGGCAAGCGAAGGTTGCTGTTGTTAAGTTATACAGTTTCAAAGTCCAGATCCCTTCAGAAAATTCACGCTGATAGCAAAGCGCCTACGTTCGCTTTGAGCTTCCTGACCATGCGCTCAAAGTTAGCGAAAGAGCTCTAAGCGGAATTGCCAAAACCTGCAGAGCTTGGTATGGAGGGCACTTTTACTTCAATTTCATCCGATTGGCAACGAATCGGTACCTTGTTGCATACTTTCGCCCTAACGTTGGATCCATGTACCTCCTGTAAGTTCGTTAAGTACTGGTTAATAACAAGAACTTATGCGACTGTGTGATCCTTCTGATGAATCGTAAGGGCTCCTCTCAACTACTGACTCATAGTAATATTCTGGCTTTACTCTATCCAACAGATTCCCACGCGTTGTTGCTAAATACTTGTTCGGACTTTTTTGTCGAGATTGTGTGGAGAAAGCCAAAGTGGAATTATTCCAAAATATCGAAAAGACACACTTACGGCGAAGTGGCTAGGATTGTCATTAACTGCCTAAAAAATGTGTGGTATTCTCAAAAAGCGACGTCGATCTATGAAGATCTGGTGATCCAATTTTAAGAAAGTTCCTGTTAACACAAAGGGAACAACGATTACAGCTATCCACATAAGATCCATCAATAAGATCAACCCTACGACCTTACCATACAAAGCACGTATCGAAATGTGCGATAATTCATGAAAGGCTTTAGAATCCAAGTTTTCCAAAACACTTCCCATTTAAAAAGCTACCTCGAGAGTATTTCCTGTTGGGTCACATGAAGAAGCATCAAAAAGTGAGCGGTCCGATATCGACTAAATGTGATTAAGTTCAACTTGTATGCTAACTGACTACCGGCTGGCGGGTGGCGGCCAACCACCACAGGGCATTGAGTCACAGATTACAAGATTTCGCGTATGTGCGAAGTTGGTTGACATACATACATAACTGCCACAACAAACCGTACGGCGTACGATAAACAAAAACACACCCAAAAAGTGAACAGATCTAAAAAACGTTGTAAGTAAAGCTAGAACTGGTTAGCCTGCTGCAACTGCCACCGCCACTAGGCCCGGTTTTGCGGTCAGCAGTGAGTGTTGACATTAACCATGTGACTTTAAGCGAGCGAACTGCAGAAGTCACACACACCCACAGCTATACACATGTGAACTATAAAATGGGATTCACTTTGCGACACACACATATACAGCTCGGCGGCTGCTAGCTGGCGCTGTCACGTAGGGCTAACACTCCTCTACATACCAGAACACTTTAACGACGCATTGTCCAGCTGAGCGACCGAGCGCAGCGAACGCTGGCGCTAAATGCGCTCAACGCTTCTAGTAGTTCACGCGCATGCGCAGTGCCACTGTTTACACTATGCAACATGCGTGTGTGTGCGTTTGCAGTCTTTTGGCTAGTTTGCAGTGGCACGGCCGAGTAGTTGACCGTGGTGGTCGCTCAGCTTCGCCAGCAAATGCTTGGCTCGCAGTTTAATAGTTCACCAGCGCACTCAAGCGTTGCGGTAATGCCAAAAATAACAGCAATAACAACGGCAACATAGTAAGTACTTATTGCAATAGCGCTATGTGCGAATATGCTCCTCACTCATACGACGTTTTAAATTGCGCTGCTGACAGCTCATCTTCGGACGGGTTGTTGGCTTGGTCAGCTTAGCTAATGAGCGGCTACGGCAGCGTTGAAAGTGTGCTTATGTGTGTGAGTGTGTATACAGAACGGCAGGTAGACATTCGAAAAGAATAATTGCAACAAATCCAACAAAAAATGTTTGGTCGAATATAAATAGCGGTTTCGATTTGCATGTCGATATCAGTACAAATTCGGCTATCACAACTCGTGTATCCAACGCAGCGCAATCTTACGCATCTTCAGTTACGGTTACAGTTATAGGAAAAACTTATCGCCAAAGTTTGACAAAATGAAGGTCCTCGTGATCCTGTGCGCCCTCGTGGCAGTCGCCTCCGCCGGTTTTATACGCAGCGGTTGGGGCGGTGGTTCCAGTCTCGGCGGCTGGGGTGGCTATGGTGGTGGTGGCTACGGCGGTGGCGGTTATGGTGGTGGCGGTTATGGCGGTGGCAGCTATTCTGGCGGTTATTCATCACCGAAAGTGATCAAAGTGATTACACTGGGTAGCAGCGGCGGTGGTTATGGTGGATACGGTGGTGGTGGCTATGGCGGCAGTGGTTATGGAGGATACGGCAGTGGCGGCTGGGGTGGATACGGCGGCGGCGGTTGGAAGGGCGGTTATGGTGGTGGCAGCGGTTGGTGGTAAAATGCATATGTCGACCTGGCAACTCTGTCGCATTGGATCTTTTCGAATTTCGTGTGTTGTGATTTTGTTTTTGTATATAAATCTGCATGCATATATGTACCTTTTTGCGGAATAAAGTAAATTTATTTTATGTGAAACGAAAAAAATCTTGCAAATTGTCATTGATTAGAGGCGACGGAAGATAATGAGGTCTTTATGGACCTTAAGTGCTGCGCATCCTTTAAGCGTCTTCAGCATTTCATTGGATAATAACTGAAAGCTCGCAGACTTTTCCGTCCTTTAAGGTATATATTTGAACCAGAGCTTTTATTTTGTACGTTACCAGAACCAAGCTGCAAATCGAACGGATATTCAGATCAGATTTTGTACCCCCAAAATTAACTAAACCATAAATCCTGAAGATAATGAGTCATACATCTATCTTTAGATCTTCTAGAGTCACAGGTTTTACAAAGCGACTACAAAGAGAAAAACATCATTTGCCAACATTGGTCTGTTGTTGTTGTTGTAGCGGCAGAATTTTGCCGAATTGACAGTCCTTTGGCGGATACAAAATTCGTTTCCGTTCCGGTTACGTAAACCCGACTGTCGTGGGAACATGGTCTGTGGACTCGTGTGGCCATGAATGTTACCAAAGAATTCCTGATCAATTAACTCATCCTTTACAACATGATCTGTGTGCTATTACCAAGAAAGCACTGACGCCATAAAATTATGGAGGTTACTAATGGACCCTGGGCTTAAAGTGGTAGCGGGAACTGTTGAAATTTGAAATTCTCTTATTGCTGTTCTCTTTGGTGGAGATTGTTTCATGGCTGTACGTCCGGGAGATGTAAGAGTTTGAAAAGAGCTGATCTTTAAATACCTTCTCAGACTGGCTTTAACGTCGCACAAATACGTAAACCCTGTTTGGCTTAGAATGAAATTTACAAGAAATTTCTGAATCTCACGAAACAAAGCTTATAACCGAGTTCGATTAGAATTCACGAAATCTAAGGCTCAGGGTTTTAGGCTGGGTGATTTGACCAAGGCCTTGAATAATGGTCATATTACCATGAAATGTTTCGGAATTAAGTATATCTTTAAGTAAAATTAATATAAAATACTTAGTTGCGCTAACGGTGTGTTTCTAGGACACTTTTGTTTTTAAAATGTTTTAACTTAGTCGAATATTTTTCGGTTTCCCGGAAATTTAAACTTCTAAACTAAAAAAAAAGGTTCCAGTGAAAGTTATTAACTGTTTTGTGCTACATTTTCCTCCTAAACTAATATACTACAACTTCTTATTTATTGGCGTAATGTAGCCAGGTCCTTCTCCACCTTTCCCACGAGAATACGTGGAAGCCTTCCTTGCTTTCAACGGCGGGTACTACATAGAAAACTCTCACAACTTTCCCTCGAAAACTCAATGTCTATGCCTCTGCACCATACAGCAGCACGGGGATTATGAGTGGCTTGCCGAATTAGGTCTTTGTTCATCGAGAGAGGATTTTACTTCTCAATTGCTTACGCAGTCCAAAGTAGCACCTGGTGTCACGAGTTATTCTTTGTCGGATTTCGACGCTGACGTTGTTGTTAGTATTGATGCTGGTTCCAAGATAGACGACATCATCCACGACTCTGTAAGTTATGATAAGTCGCCAGTGCACAACTGTTTGTTTTTTCATACTGTCGAAGGCGGCTTTAAAATCGACGATGAGGAAGTGTTAGTCGATCATCGACAACTAGATTGATATATAAATATACAAAAGGCAACTTAACTTCTTTTCAAGTCTCACCATTCCCAGACATTCTTCCGCTTAAAAGTCTTTATAAGCAAATATTCCAATTGCTAGGCAATGATGCCTCTCTATTTCTAACCTTAATCAGTTCAAAACTAAGTGAAGGTTTTTCCCGCACCTATAGGTGATTTATTATATGAGTACAGCAAGTTTGCTTTTCATAATCCTCTTTAATTTCTGTGTGAATTGGAAAACGGAACATCCATGGACCATAAACACACACACATACAAACATAGTGAGTACTAACTATGATTATTTTGTTTGATTTATGCTTTGTGTTTCTAATTTTGTTTTCAATATAATTACACGTTTTATGGCCATAATAAATGTCTTGCGTACCCGCATATGCATTGAAATGTTGTTGTTTTTCTTTCAAATGATCATTAAAAGCGGATAATTGTTTTCGCATCTTCTGATTAATAGTTTATGAGCGTAAGTTGTTGGTAAATGCCTGAGAACATTTTGTTTTGAAACTACAAATATTGCAAATACACAGTTCTGACATAATCGTATAGTCATAAAAAAATTAGTTGAATGTTTACAATGCTTGTTTTGGCATAACGTTGGAGAATTTTCAAGCAGACGGGATTTAAGGGGCGCCATAAAGTAAAGTAGGTGATCATCAATGAAGCAAGTGTTGGTTCAATACCTGAGCTTGTAAGAAAAGTAGTCGACCTCGTCAACAAATCTCTATTTTATTAGAGAGAATTTTAGCTAAGATAGTGCAGCACCTTAGTTAATCCATTCGATAGTATATAATTCGAATCTGCTTATCCTCAGACAATTTCATAATATAAATGCGGAATGCTTAATATGGATCATACATGATGTGAGAGATCAATTCTGTGATATTTTATGAAGCAAAGAGCTACTTCAATTACTAAAAGAATTGTCGAAAGTATAAAGCAGTCTAAAAATAATAAACATACAAGGAGCGTTCCAAAGTAAACAGGACTTGAAAAAAACCAGAACAAATAGTTTTTTCGGCACAATCAATTTATTCAAAATAATCTCCTTTTGATTCAATACAGCTTTTTGTACGGTCCAAAAGCATGTCGAGCGAGTGTTTTAACTCGTTGGACGGTATGGTCGCCAGTATGCCGTTGCAGGCCTTCCTTTTATAGACAAATGCATTTTTGCGAAAAGGAAGAAGTCGCACGGTGCCGCACCAGGTGAATACGAGGAGTGGTTTTTCGTCAAATAAACGGTCACAAGCGTTGATCGATGATGTTAGATTTTAAGCAATTTTTGGGGTCGTCAGTTAATTTGTGCGGAACACACCGAGCACACACCTTTCGTAAGCCCAAATGTTTGGTCGAAATGCAAAAAATCCATGTTTTGGAGATGCTCAATTCCATTTCCATGAAATTCAATGATGATTTTGACTTCACTTTGAAAACGTTGAAACCACTCGTGCACTCTGCTACGGATAGGCAATCATTGCCATAAACTTGTTTCATCAATGAAAACATTTGGGTAAAAGTTTTACCAATTAAAAAAAAAAATTAATGTTGGCTCTTTGTTCGAAGCTCATTTTCGCACCGATAACGCAAATATACTTACACTTAAATTGTAATAACTTCACTTCCAATGAATGAAATGAACGTGAATATCTCACTGAACAATCAATAAAGATATCAGATTCTAACGCACCAGTCGACATATAAAGGGCGCCACCAGGGGGCGCTAGATTCAGAAAGTACTGCTTACTTTGAATCGTCCCTTGTATTGTCCTTCTTGAATTGCATCTGAAAAAACTTGGATCACTGCATTGCAGGGGCTACTTATGGCGCCTTCTTCTCTGCGCACATACAGACGAGTGATATGTAGATGGAGACGAGTCTTTATAGAAGAGGCGTAGTGAGCTTTTTCACGGGTGGCTGTTATTAAAGTTGCGGTAAACGTCCTCCTACAAAATTCGGCATCTTTCAGAGGGATCAACATTCACGCCCGTTGTTCTGATTAGAATTAGCTACTTCATCATCTGACTCCTTTGGGTATCCGGTTACAGCGGAATTGGCTAATTCCGGCTGTTCGGCATGGGACAGAGTTATATCTCTATTGGCGTCTTGTGTTCTAGCACTGAAACAATGAACCTCGCGAGCGTTTAACATGGAGTGAAAGAATGGATGGTTAGGGGACCAGCTTCTGTGAGACTGCAAGTTTCTTTTGGGTTCTAGAGGAGAACGCAGGAGATCTTCTGAACTACTATCCTTGAGCAAAGCTCTTCTTATCGTAATAGTAGAAGTTCTTACTGAACACTGTCCAATAGGCATCCTTGAAGTAGAGCCAATAATCTTGGGGGACGCTAATTGTCAAAGTTGTATGGCGAAGAGTGAGATGGAAATCTCCTGACTTTCTCACACTGTGCAGCCTTTGCAAGGCTGAGGCTGAAGCTTAACAGAATTCTTATATAGCCGAAACTTACATTTATGGTAACGCCGCAGTAATTCATGACAAACTTAAAGCGATTTGCCGTGAGATTCGTGTTAAGATCGACCCCTTAACCTAACATAACCTAACCTAAACTAAGCTTCTAACGAAAACCCGCCCTTTCACAAAACAAATACTAAAATCAAACACACATCAACACACTGAAACACTGAAACACTATCTAGTGCTAATATTTACCCAGCTAGTATTAAGTTGGTTCTAATATGCATGAACATAAATAAAAGCCGCGTGCATTTATGGTGTGCATGCGCGCATGCGCAAATTCAAAATTTATGAGATAATGACTTGCTTCACACACAAACCCCTAATCCTGAGCGTAACACTTTAAACGCTCGTTAATTTACACATTTACACCGTCACACAAACATATTTCTGTAATCAATGCTGCATTCAAATACTTAGCGAGTGATGAGTGCATCTCACGCCGAACGATCGAATGCTCGGAACGAATGCAACCCAGACAAATCAAATCGCTAGTATTTATGCGCTCATCAAAGTAAAAGTAAGCGTTGGCTGCCTGTCTGACGACCAACGCTCGGGTGAAGGTTAACGATGCAACTTATGCAGGAACTATATTTCGCCGCTGCGCTGAACATAAGAGAAGATTTGTGCAAATTAACGATTGATTCTGACATTTATGAGCGCAGCTTAGCGTTTTGCGTTTTGAGCGTGTTCCTTTTCTCAGCTGGTGGGCAGTAAAAGTTGTTGCTGGTGGCTGTGACATTGAATTTGAGATGGATGCTAAGCAAAAAATATATCTGTTTGTTTTTGTTGTAAAATGTCTAATAAATTATTGCTTAACATATTTGCTTGTGTTTTTCGGTTTTGCAAGTCATCAGTGTATTGTTTGTGCATAAATCGGCACTGATGCTCTTTGAGTGCTACAGTTAGTGATG